TAAAGTTCATCATTGCTCACATGGTCTTCTCAGTATCATTCAAATAACCACAGTTCTTTTGCCTCACGTCTCTTCTTCACATGTGAGGAAATTGTTCAGTATTCACTGCCAGGAATTATATTACACAGACGATGAGGAGATTCCCTTATTTTTAATGAAATTTTACTCTTTCTTAATATTTTGCTTAGACTTAAGAAGGCATTTTTATTAACATGCATATTCGGATTTTGCTATTTTTCGTAAGAGCACTCCCTAGATATTTAAATTTTCATACTTCCATGATTTTTACCTCTTCTATTCATAGCCCACATCCTGGGAGCTTTCTCTTGCCAACAACAATAGATTCAATTTTCTTACAAGTAATAGTCATTTCTTCTCACTTTCCTTGACTGCCTTTTCTAGGAGTTCTTGCATATTTGTCTCTGTGCCTGCCGTGGTATAGTCATATTTTGAAAACGTAGCTTCATCTTTCACAGTAGAATTCAGTGATTACAAGAATCCTTTGGATATTTTTATTTGATTTAGATTGTCACAGAATTAAAATATCAGAGAAAATAGTGTATCAAAATTAATTGTTATTTAGTTATCTGGTAATTTGTACGTCAAGCGTAACTGAGTATGCCCAAGGCTAAAATATACTCCCTAGGTGAATATCATCGCCACATCTTCTCACGAATATATATGTATATAGTATTGTATCCACAGATTACATTTAGAGATACAAAAGATCCTACAGTGTAACACGTCTGACGAGAATTCTTGTGTCCAATGTACAGCCCTTAATTTTAATCTGATTCCTTAATTGTTATGTAGTAAGAACTAGTAAGCCTAACTTATGGATGACGATTGATTCTGGCCGGTCAGCTAAAAGCTGATTGCTGTTCAATGAGTTCATATCAGTCATTATTACCAATTTATAGATTGGAGTCATCATATAACATTCTAGTGAAGTTTGACATTTATTGATACTAATAACAAAATAGTTGATTTTATTTACTGAGAGTCTAATCTGTTGATTATCAGAAAAATACTTCGGAAACTGAAAGAACTTAGTTTGTATCCTGATGGAATATTATACACTTTAATTTTATATCAATTCCTTGATTTTTAACATTCGTGGGCCTAACTTTTAGATGCCTTTTGATTTTGGTCAGCTAATACACGTACATAATTACTGTTGAATGAGTTCATATCATTCATTATTTACACTTTGTAGACTGGAGTCATCGTATAACATTCTCGTTGAAAAAAAGTCGTTCATACGAATGGTAAAACTGATTTAATTGGCTTTGTTGGGTATAGTTTAAACCAGTCTATTTTATACCTTGAGGCATGAAGTAAGTTATCGGAGTTTATACCGGATTAGGCTAAAATATGACCGAGTATATTCTGTGAAGTGTCTGATATGAGCAGCTACACCGTATTGTACATTTATTTTCTAATATGAGTATGTCATTTTGAAGCGACAAACGTAAATTACACGTTCGAATTACCTCTAGTTAAGAAATTTAGTTTATCACAGGATAAAACGAGGAAAATGGCGGATAGAAAATTATTTTACGCTAAATCTCAAAGTGGGAAATGCCGACCAGACTTGATCAGTATTTTAAATCATAGCTTTTAATTTATTCTAAAAATGCACTGACATATTGCGACTGTGAAAAATAGCCAAATATTTCAACCACGGAGAGATGGTTCACCTGTTTGTGGGTGCGTACTTTTATTTTCTGTTTAAGTGTAGTTGACTTACGGACAAAGATCTAGGTGATTTTTGTCTTCTCTTTATAGTTGGTTCCACTTTTGTCTCGGCATCCATTTTTTTACTGAAATTCTGTGATTCACAACTCTTACCTGAACAATAATTAACGTTACCTCGAGTGGAAAGGCGTCAGCTCTACAAAGAATCGTATAGCAATTCTCCAATATTATATTTTCTGAAGGATAAAACACCCTAAAGTCTTTCTATTCTTGATGAAGAAATTAATATTTAGTCATGAATTATAGAGTAAATAAATGTAGTAAATAAAACACCGGTGATAAAATATCAATGAGAATAGGTGAAAAAAATAGGTTTAATGCAACCAGAAGTTATGTAAATATCCTTTTTGTTGAACAATAATACATTTTATAAATGAAAATGTACGAAACTATATTCTGGTGCTAACATATTTTTTTTAAATGTGTTTTAATCTTCTAATTAAACGAATCAGTATTAAAAATCGTTTTGGAATTAGAAATTTTGACTCAATGATCTTTTTTCTTTTCTGTTCAGAACGTGGGCGATCAAAGTCCTTCACAACTTCCTATCGGTTGTAATTATGAGCGAATGTTTGTCCTTTTACAATCCCTACTGGTTAGTGTTCTATCATCCATTTACACAAGCACGTTAGGTATGTAATACGCTGTTTTTCTCTGTCCTTCCTTCAATATCTCATGGGAGAGTCAAATTCTCCAAGCTTTCTTTCCTTACTTTGTACACCAGAATTTTCCACTGTCTTTTTCTAAGTATAACTATCCTTTTCGTTTCCATTTTTTTAAAAATGTTTTCTATGCTAACATATTCTGTCTATTGTATTTTCAACATCCTTCAGTTGAATCACATCTCTGTCTTCTTTGACTTAATTTTTTTTTCGCTTTTTTCTATTCTATTTTTCTGTTCTATTTTTCTTGTTGCTGAGACGCTTTCAACTTATTTGTGCACTTCTATTTTCACACTGACAAGCGACCGGAAACAACCAAGACGTTAATATATTCTTTGTGTACCGGTCATTGACAGTGAAAATAGTCTCAAAAAAGTTTTATGTTTCTGAAGAGTTTTCAACGAATATTTATGTTTCCGAAATTAAGTAAAATTTTCTAAAATTAATTAAAAAATAATTGAAATTTTCTAGCTGCCTGAAAATAGAAATGATTGTCTGAAGATGGATAACATATTTATATGTCTTCTACGGCAAAATTTCAGTAGCCTAGAGTTCAAGTTTGATAAAATCATAAACTCAAATTCACCGTTCAGCGTGGGACCTGCATAGTGTTTTGGCTGTTAAAATATATTTGGGAAAGAACGTAGATAAACGCGATTGCTGTATAAATCCCTAAGAGACAAATGCAGATTAAATGATATACAGCCTGTTATGAATAATCAAGGGTGGTCTCCCCTTGTTTTGTTACCCTCCTCTTTGAGAGAGAGAGAGAGAGAGAGAGAGAGAGAAAGAGAGAGAGAGAGATCTATTTCTGTTTATTGGTCCTATAAAGGGACACTATAGGCGAAACTTGTATTTTCAGTTGAATAAAGCGTCCTTAAAGCCTACACCTGCGCATTTTTGTCATTACAAAACCTAACAGGCTGCGACGCACAGGTGTAAATATATAAACTTTTTCAGATTTAATTTTCATTTTACAACGGGCCACAGTAGTTCTTGAATATAGGAACATTTTAAACGAGCTGACCTACAGGCCTAAATGATGCGCTTACTCTCAATAAAGAAATAATGGATTTGAAGTATTAGAGTGTTCGGAAAGTAATTACATATTTTATCACTAAGAATTACGAGTCAATCAACAATAACAAAATCAAATGTTGAATAACGAGAAACTGCATCTAGAATATACCAAAGCGCGAAGAATGTCTACCTTTCATTTTTCAATTGCATTGTTACAGATGAAGAAAAGTGGATGTCGCATGTTAACAGAAAACGAAAAAGACAGAGATGATGACACCCGTGGCAACACCAACGCCAGGAGTACATACACAGAAGTACTTATTTGTATCTGGTGAGATATGGAAGGTGTCGTCCATTACGAGCTCTTGGAATATGTAAGGACCGTGACCGCAGATGTTTATTGCCAGAAATTTGATCGAATAAATGAAATATTAGGTTCAAAGTATCCTGTTATGGGCGGCCGAAGAGGTGGTAGTATGACAATGCAAACAGGACTAATTTAAAAACCAAAACCAAAATAGTTATCAAACGTAAGATCGTTAAGATGGAACGTTCTTGTATATTCTACATACTCACCAGATTTAGCATTTACAAATTCTTGTTTGTTTCGGTCACTAGAACATTTCATAAGTGACAGATCATTCAGAAACAAGTTAGTTGAAAACAATCTTTTGAAATATTTTTTCGGTGAAAATCCAGATTTTTCTAAAAGTATAATCGAAAATTTGCCTTCCAACTAGCCGCAGACATTAAAAACGAAGCAGGTTGCTTTTATAATATACACTCTGATATTTACCTATTCGAAAATCAACATCTTTCTTGAACACTTGGGCCACATCTCATTTAAATAGGACAGAAGATTACACAGAATATTTCAAGTTGTCACATTTTTGCAGATCCAGAACATTAATAAAGATTTATTGTAGCAATAAACACCGAAATATTTTTTTGTGAGGACTTATGTTAAAAATAATCGCCGTCAGGTTAACGTTACCATGGCTCCCTGGTGTCTATTGCTTGTGGGAGATGACTTAACAAATTTTTTTAAAGTCTTGATATTCCGGTGACTGGAGAAAAAAGACACAGGAAAAAAAACAAAAAAAAAAAAACATCATTACTTTGGTTTCTGGCGAGGGAATTTTCATCTAGATATCTATCTTATAAGTTTAAACGTTCGAGTTTAGCATTATACTTACAATCGAAATCAAATACCTTGCTGAAAAAGCACTCCGCTATCTTTCCCAAGAACAATAATAGCAATACACATTTTCTGCTGGATGTCTACTTTATACGGTTCAACAAAAAGATAAACGTATGATTCATTGTTATACAGGTTATTAACCCTTTTCATGTTACTTAAAGCCAAACTATTTTTACATTGTAATATTTTTGTTGTTGAGATAATAATGGTTTAATTAACGATGAGAAGAGGTGGATTTCTACCTTTCCCAGGGGTATTTGTGTGTAAATAAATATACAAAACCCAACGGGAATTGAAACCCGGCTTTCCGATTTCCAGTTCCGGGCCTTTATCTATTGAGTCATCCGCACATATAAACTTGTAGCATTTGATATTCCGAAACTGTCACCAATATAAGTACTGACCAGGCCCGACGTTGCTTAACTTCGGTGGTCGTATGGCAACCGGTGTTTAAACGTGAGGTAGCCGTAAGCCAAAAAGTTAAAGATTCGGTTTTCCTAATCTGACACACATAGAGTAAGTGTATATCATTATTTCCATCATGTAAATAGAACACCTTGCTATATTTTAGTCATTTTCATAAACTATTAGTCTTAAAAATGTATTCTAGCTCTCATTAATAATTAAAGAAAATATGGTGAATATATCTCCAGCTGTAACTGTCACCGGTTGTGGAAACTACTAGGATCATACGTTCACCACGTATCATGAAGTACTGGTGTATCTAGCCGATAGTCTGAAAGACCACATCTCTCTTCAGGCTCCTATTGAATGTCCAGATAACACAATCTAATTAACCTATTGTCACTCAGAATTGGAACAAAGTTGAAATGAGGAATAGTGAGAAAGGAAGGCTTAGAAAATTTGACACTTACAATACCTACTGAAGGTAAAAATTACTGTGAAAAGTCGCGGGATACCTAACTTGACGAACAAAATTCATGCCTTTCTTAAGTGCATTTCTGCGAAAGTGTGCACAATGGACTAGCTTAGGGTTTGATATCGGCTCTCTCATTCTTCTGTCCTTGTCGACATATGTTATGTTATCCACACATAAAATGGCAGATACACTGACAAAAGAGACATTCGGGAAATCATAGTAAGGTGCGAAAATATAAAACGTCATATTTTACACTGGGTTAAGAAAAGTATTTAAGATTTAGCTTTGTTCCTTGGACGTGAATACTATTTAGAATTATCCAGAGCTTATACTGGGAGTTATCCGTCAGTATATGAATAGAAAACGCGTGTTGTCAACTGATTTATTACATCTGTACAGCAAGTCTATCCCAACGGAGCTGCTGACCTTGCCAGAAGTTTTCATCGGTGGGTGCAATTTTAACAATCTAAGATACGCAGATGACACGGTATTGATAACTGACACAGAAATAAAACTACATATCTTCTTAAACCAGGTAGGAAAAAAAGGACTAATCATCAATTGTAAGAAGATAAAATGTATGGTTGTTAGAAAGAGAAAAAGCCCAAGATGCGAACAATGAATTCGTGATGTCAACATTAAACAACTACAGACGTCGAGATACCTATCCCCCAGGTTTTTTTTTACTTCACTTATTTTTATATGGACTGGGTCAGTTTTCTTCTTTCTCCAAAGGTCGTATATATTTTTTGATTTCCCTCTCCCTAAGTGAGAGAGCCTCTTGATTTTGTCCATAGGCAGAATACAATGGCCAATCTATTTTGAGGGTTGGACGGTTCCAGCTAACATCTGTTATCTTTAGTTTGCTTGTTTTGATATTTCAGTTTGTTTTTGGTTCAACCCCCACTCATCGTCTATCATGGATAACTTTTTATACTGTTGTATAATCATGAGATTTTTAAAGTCATGGGATGTTTTGTAGGACCCCTTGATTTTATGTGGTATTATGGTTTATGGAGGATCAACTGGCGATAGATTTATTGTGGTGAATGTACCATTTGTAACGAGTAAATGGGTCGTGAATCGGATTAGCTAGGTATAAAATAGTAAGTGAAGACAAGCCTCAACCCATTCCCCTCCTCTTCGGCCTTGTGCCAAAATTGTATATTTTATACAATAAATATCAACAAGTACAGACGTTTAAAAATCTGTGAAATGTTTCAACAGAGGATAGAAAATGTGACTCCAAGATCCGAAAGCGTATTTGAATAGCAAAATATGCCTTCCAAAAGTTAAGTAAGGTACTAGGAAACAAGACAAATACAAATACAGTGTTAAACTGGTATGTAATATGTATCTTCCTATATTTCAGGGTACGCTGAACAATTCCCTCACAGATGAATGGAAGACTGGGGGTAATATTAATGTTGTTTTACAGAAGTTTGCTGAGAATACGATGAACGGAGTATGTAAGTAACGAGGAAGTCGCAAGAGAAATGGAAGCAAAAAGGTCACTTCTACTCAGAATGAGAAAGAATCAGCTGACATTTCTTCGACACGAGATGAGGAAGGAGGGTTTGGACAATTTGATAATTCACAGGACAGACGGAAGGCAAAAATGGCCAATGGAAAGCAGTGGGATACCTACCCGAGGAGCTTATGCGAATGGATTGAAGAACGAGGAGTAGATAGGATGGTAAAAAAGCCAGCCATTGTTAACAGCTGAACGGAATAGGATGTCGTAGAGAGCCACGAACAGACACGTCCTCTAGGGACTGAAAACACTAAAGAATATATATGGATACTAGCAGCATGGCCCGGCGTTGCCCGTGCTTGATTCAAAAATACAGCAATCGCTATCATTTGACATAAATATTTTTGCCCTTCCTTGCCTTTAAAGGAGTGTCCTTTGCCGTGCTGATGTTGCTACATGCCTTACTTCTTGCCTATCTCACACTGCGAATTTTTTCTAAGCTCTATACTAAACATTAAATCTGTTACGAAAAAAGAACTAAACAAATTGAACACAAAACGATCAGCTTTAAAAAAGGACTCGTAACTGGAAAAACCGAATGAAAAAAGAATGTTAACAACAAATACTTTTTCACACCCAACCCAGTTCTGCGGAATCAGAATCAACGTTGAGTTTAAGCAAGCGAATGAGCCAATTGGAGTAAAGTGCCATGCAGATTTAAATTTTTCCCACTTGTGACAAATACAGCTATCGATTTTTTTGCATGCTATAGCATGCTAATTAACATTCGTGTCAGTCAGATGTTGGTTCTCACGCTGGCCAACAGAATCTTCCTGCCTATTCGTGGCAGCCAGCTATTGGCTCTCACTCTGGCGAGTAGAAAATGGCCGCAAACTACATGAAAACTGCCGTAGAAGCATGAAAAAATCGATTATTTTCACTGCCGATGGGAGTTGGGAAATGCAAAGTCGGTCTTGGCCTTCCCTCTAACTTGGTGCATGTGCATGTAAATTTTGGTGCAAATCCGTCGAAATTTGCGGCCGTGCATTCGTTACACACACACACGCACACATCCTACCTTATATATATATATATATATATATATATATATATATATATATATTTTTGGTAAATAATCATAGCTTAATACTGAAATGCTTATTAAGCACTGTTTACTCTATGTTTAATTAGGCGAAAGTTTACTGGGAACTGAGCAAAAGAATATTGAGGTTTATGGTCGGGTAAGTGCAAACTCGGTTCAAAAAAATTCTGAAGTTAAAAAATGGAGATTTAGTATTTACTAATAAAGAAAGTTTTAGAATATCAGTTCAGTAGTTTTGATGTTGAACATCAAAATTGATGAGCTGGAGAAAGTTTTGAACGAGATTAAGATCAAGCAAGAAATGAACTTAAAAATGATTCAAGATGAATCAATAATATGTCACAAACAAGTCTTCATAAAATAAAGAAGCTAGTAAAATAGGCTTCGCATGATTTACAGAAATAAACACGATGACTGTGATTATTATCCTGATTAGAAGAAGGTAACTAAACTGAATTGGTCATGTAATTAGTAGAGGACAACGATGTCCTGTTTGTAAAGATCATACCACACAACTTCCCAGGTAAAAGTACACCAGGTAATAGATGGAAAGACCAAATCAGAGAAGACTCCAAAAATCTACTTCTCACAATTGACAGGATTGTCTTGGATAGAAAGAAATAGGAAAATTGTGTGGTCAAGAGGTTTACAAGCATTAGGTTCGCAGTGGATATCACAGCAGAGTGTAGTTCATCCTTCTCCTGGTCGCCTTTGGTCCTTCCGGTAGAGGAAACAAGATGGCCGCCTTTATACACGACGAATACAGTGTTGTGCGGCTTCTGATTGGTCAACCTTCTATTGGTCGACTATAAAGGGAAATACGTCATTCTGACTCGCTCACTAGTTATATATAATATACCCCAAAAACCGTAACACTCTCTACCACTCTAGTAAGTACCCTACTATCCTCTACATTTACAAGAGCCACAGCCTAGGCCTACAATGAAGTACAGTTGTCATATTTGATCAGGAGCTGCCTAGAAAGCACTCACAGCACAGCCTTGATAGAGTCCGATAGCATTTTCGAGTCCTTGTGACAAATTATTTTCCCTTTCAAAACTCTCTCACTGGCGGGGTTGTGACATGCTTCTATTTCTAAGGAAAGTGTGTGGACGAACTGCATTCCTTGGTTCTGCAAAATCTAACTTTTACGGCTAGGACCCACCATGCCTCTTACATTATAGCTAACCACCCACACTCCATCCGTGTTCCATCTGTGAGTAATAAGTTCCACCTTGAACAGCTTCTTCTCGCGAACCACAGCTCTATGGAACGAACTCCCAATAGAATGTTTCCCCGATCAGTACAATCTTAACCCGTTCAAGTCTAGGGTTATCTTCTCGTATTCGTATGAATAATCTCTGATTGTAACCCTCTAACTCGGGTGTCCTATGGGCTTTCTACAGTGTGACCTGTAAAAAAAATCCAGTTTTATTTACAATGATTTTTGGAGGATCCACCAGTAGTTATTAAATGACGCTTGACTATTTGCAAACATCTTGGAGATCCAAATCACCAGAAGCGAATTTTTGGAGCCAACGACCTACGAACGTTTCTGAAACTGAATCTATCCCTAAGCACAGTTGGTGTTGTAGATGACCTTGCAAGTGCATTGGCCAAATTTGAAGTCAGGGAGCAGAATGACAAGAAAAACGCATTTATTCATTTTTGCGGCGATTCCCTATTAAAAAAAAATAAATGAACTTGAAATAACCTCTGAAAGAAAAGATGTATAGATTCAAAATATGTTCAGGGCGCGATGGATAAATTGTCGTCTAAATTACGCAACCATTAAAATAACACATTTTAACAGATATATTTCCCAAAATTACACAAAAATATCTTCAAATACTAAAGAATAAATTTATTCAATAAAATCGGCCTCCAGTCGACATCAGAATCTCCTACAACTCCTCTGGACGGTCTCCTTGTTTAAGTTGGTGACCGCTGCACTAATCCTTACCTTCATTTCATCTTTGGTGTTACATAGGGTTTTGATGGT